TATGAGAACGAACAAACAAAGAACTTACTGACCAAACAGAGGAATAATAATAATATGTATTTCTCGCAATCGCAGTGTTGTTTTAATCTCTGTTTCTTTGCTTTTATAGAGCAGAATCATCATTCTTCCCTTATCAAATTTTCGCAATTAGGCCCATGTTATTCAGATGAAAGATAATACCTGAAGTATAGTAGCAGTTGTTCGATGATTTACACGTAGTACTGTGACAGTAGTATTTGGTGGCAGAATATTTATAGAGCCAGTTAATATAAAGTTATGGTAAAGTGCATTAACTTAACATTCAAATCTCCATCCGAACACGTTTTTCTTCTTGTGCGTCTTTTGTTTTCCTTCCATGTCTTCTGCATTGTTTCACAAGGATCTTTCACTTCTCTTCGCCACTTAAAATATCGCTTCTCTGTTTAATAATTATGCAAAAAATAACACAAAATACACTGCAAACAAAGTCACGTCAGTAGAGCACGCAACAACACTACTTGCAGTTGAACAGTGTGTCGTATACTGTCAGTTAATAATACCGATACAATCAAAAGACGTATGAAGTAACAATGTTAGATGGCTTATTACACCGAAATTTAAATATTTAATGACTTGCTCTGTTGTTAAATGGGTGTGTACTGAATATTAAAATATTTTACAATAAGAAATTTTATGTCTTTTAACAGCGTTTTTGTTTGCATACTTAACTTTTGTTAAACTTATCAAAGCTTGTCTTCAATTTAGTTTTGTATCACAAACAATATTTTTTCGTTTGCAAACAATGGGTGTACTGCTTATTAAGTCACAAAGTGCAAGATTAGATTTATATTTTATCATTGGAAACTGGAAAAAAAGCGAAATAAATTGTGTCAACTTTTAAAAACTAGTAGTAATTAAATAGCTCAAATTAGAATAGAATATTTTGGTCTTGAAAAGAATTCAGTTAATGGCATTTCACCAGGAATATTACCGCTTTTGATGGTATGAAAGTGACTGCTGGTTTTCATATAAAAAGTAAGCGTAACAAAACATGAAACTGTTATTTTTATTCGTGCAGATGATAGTATGGGTAAACTAATTGGAATCTAGAATTTCTGTGATTGAAATCACCTTTTTTGAACGATTACGATATGGATCTCAAGTGCATATCACGGTTTGTCTGTTAGAAATAGCAGGTGATAGCATACAAGAAAATGAAGACAACATTTGAAACCCTGAACTAAAGGTATCCAATGTTTTTGCTTTGATTAGGTTAAAATAAGCATGAACAGTAAACTGAAGTGGTTCGAACCAGCAACAGCTAGTCTTGTAGTCAGAGACGATAATAACGGAATTTTTAGGCTGTTGGGCAACATCTTTTATTTTATTCACACTTTGAACAGCAGTTAATAATGCTGTATAATAAGTAGATTCTGAGGAAGACTAAGATTAGTTTACATGTCTGGGGAAAAATTGTCTGCTATTAACTAATGAAATAAGCACTTGGTGTTTCATAAATAATTTTCTTTATTCGGAAAACGCAAATGAAAACTTAGAGTATACGGCGTCCAGTAATGATCTAACTCCTGTTAATCTTATGCAGGAAGTTTAAAAAGCCCTTCTTCGAAGAAATCCATGCTGCAAATGCTTTTGATAGGATTGACCAGTGAAATGATGAGAGCTTTTTGTCGACTTGCAAGTATCCATTCCATTCCTGGATGTAGAACTGATAAGAAAAGATGATGGAACTGTGAAAAGATATATACACAAAAAAATCCATCATTGAATTGCCAACTGACAAACTTCTATAGTTGGATACCTGTTAGTCAAGAAAGGGCTGTCATCATTTGAATTGCTCACCATACCAAAAGAAATTGCAGCTTAGATTGCCTAGAAGAAAAGCACTTATTTCTCAAAAATATCCTGGCTGAAAATGAGCAAGCTTCTTGGAGAAAAACATGGAAGCAAATCCAACCGAATAAAATACTGGACTTCAAGAAAGACCCACCGACAGATATGCTAAAGAGTAGAATCTCTAGTTCCCTAGAGAACACCTTTCGTGCATCAACACTAAGCTTGAGAGGCATCAAATATACTATCCCATTTGATCTTCAGAAGTTTTAAACTGTAAAAATAATGCGACTTCTGCCGAACAGAGGACTTTGGTCCACTTAAGTATACGATTCAGTATATTAGAAATTTGTCTTTCAGCATTTAAAATTACTATCAATTTTTTCATTGAAATTAACTTAGCTATTACATTTTTGTTTACACGAAAATGTCTTCAGCTTTTTCTAATTGCTATAACCATTTGATCTTGTTATTATGCATCGAGTTCTTTATTTTGTGTCATTTTACACAAATTGCATAAAAAACTCTTTATCACTGTCAAGTTTGTATCTCTTTTATTTTATAAATATTTTAATTATGAATTGTATTAAAAATTGGTATTTGTTAATGAAATAAAGTATTATTGAGATTAAATGTAATGGTAACAACAACAAGGTATTGAAATAACAAAATATCAACTCGTTGTAAAGGAATTGTGAGTGAAGTGGTATTCGCCAGTTCATCGTGCAACTCTGTTTTGTACTATCTGAAGCAATGTCCAAATTTCTGTGATGTTTTTCTTCAATTCAGTTTAGAAATGCTTTGAATTAAAGCAAACTAAGACTGTGTGCGAGTTTGTGCAGCGATCCTATAACACAGATGGTTAGAACAATGAAAAGTGGAGAGGGCTTTTCGCATAATGCTGGATCGTAGCCGCCTGATTTAAGCAGGACGCCAGAATGAAAAACAACTGTTTGTGATCACGTTCATTACATTAATAGTAAATATATGCTACGATTAGTGTGTTGACAGGTAAACGATGCTATTGTAATCTGTGGTATGTCTGATTAACAGATAAATTCGAAGAAAATAGTGTTTTGGTGTTGTTGTGTTTTCTGAGTTGGTCAGTTTAATTGCGAAGCTTTCATTGTCTTACCAGGCAACATCTTCAGCTCATACTTCAATTTGAAGTGAGCTTTTAAATTTCGCTACTAGTTTACTAGTTATCTCCTTTAGTAACCTTGAAGGTGATTGGTTGTTTTTGCGTGTTTTCTCATCTCCCAGTCTACTTGTTTTGTTACTGATTCTTTCCTTGACCTCAAGTTTAACTTCTTGTTCATGTAATTTCCTTCATATTAATGAAAAACAATGCAAAACCCGCAACTGAAACGTGCAGCTAAGATAGTACAACTACACCAAAATCATCCATCTGAACAAAAATCTTCTCCATTTTATCCAAACAGTGTTTTGGCGAGTGTCAGTCTTCTCGTCTTCTACTTTATTATTCTTGCTATCCTGTTATTGAGACCGGTAACCATTCTTTTTAATTTCTAAACCCGAAATGTACTAAAGCGGATTGATATTTTTTCAATATCCTTCTATGCGCAGTTCTGATTAGAAAATTTATTTTACACTGTATCGTACAATCCACTACTATTTTGTAACTATAGTCCCTTAATGGAATTCAATTAGCGCTTGCTGCTGAAACATCTGATTCCTGTTTAAGGGAAACTTTTAGAAGATAAGGTGTGCGAAGTGTTTACTTTTCAGCTGGATCCCTGACGATTCATCTACACTAATTATAATGCATTTTTAGTTATTACTATCTCCGCATTTAGGTTCCACCCAAGGGTGGGCCTGGAGTCACTCTTCAGCGTATATCCACTACATCTCGTTTTCTTTCTACATATTACTTTGGTATTGAGCCCAGGTTACTTCATTGTTCTTAGCTATTTTCCTGTAACTTAACCTTCTTAGCCATTCATCTGACCTGCAATGACAAGACAGTGGGGGCAGATGTTTATGACAGATTTAAAAGGCTGTAAGTGGCACATAGACTTACCATCAGTTTTGAAAAGTTTCTGAAACATAAAATAGGACTGGTGTGAAGTATTTATCGTGTTAACACTAAATTTAATTTAATGCTACAATTTTGTGTTCTACGCGTAACGGAGGGCATCTGAATTCACCTGAAGAAGCAAAACATGTTTTCAGAAGGAATTTGCACAATAATTATCATGGTCTTGGCTACGTTTCTTTGAGTATATTAACTGAAAAACTTCATCTATCTCTTAGCTACCTCATTGACCCGTCTACCTCACCTTTAATATATCCTTATGTAATCTATTCTACATAACTTGATCATTAATTTGTTCTCTTTGTTTTCAAAGAGTGAGTGACTAATTTTGTACTATTCGTTTCAATTTTCACCAATATATTGCACTAATTTTCTTCACTGAGTGTCCACCATGACATGTTAAGAAGCCAGTCACCACTAGATTGATAAATCAAGTATTATTTATTTTATTCCTTTACTCTGCTAGTGGAACATCTGGCTTCAGGCCGGAGCTTTGAAGTTTCGATAGCTGGAGTGTTTAGTTTTACCGGGTGGAGTTGCCTATGCTGAACCTTCCTATTTACCGGTCCTGCTACCACATGCGTGGTTGGCGGGCATCCTACCGATTAGCTACTGACACATGATAAATTACGTGTCGTAGCAAAAGTGTTATGGGTGTGTCAGAGCAAAGCTACTGACGAAGAAAATAGCTATCCCTTCGGCCAATTCACTGTCATCGAAACCCTTTAATTTTTTATCAGCATTATCACTCTTACGTGTTTACTTAAAATCTTAATGGTTTCATGTGAAGAAATACCTGTTAGTCAAAGGTTAATTGGCATTGTGTTCAGCATATTTATATGCAAAAGTTATATCTGTAAAAGTCGAAAGCTTTGTCTTCATTAATACGCTTGTATTCAAAAGTGAACAGCATTCAGTGTGTTATTCTAGACAACATACTAATGACATTCAAGTAGCATCTCATGCTTCTGAAATCTGTAACATGGTACCATATTTTTCAAACTTCTTCTGGATACAAATGCATCTTTAAAATGTCACCCATATATGTCAGTGCATTCAATATTTCAACATGCTTCATTTACTTACAGTATTCTTTTTCTTTCTTTCGAAACAGACGGCTTAGATGTACACGGAATAATTTACACTTGAACTTGTTCAGTGCAATATTACTGCGTTGTGTATTACATTTTATAAAGCATGCAGCAGATGGTCAAGATGTAAGTAATTATTTTGTTACACAAGTCGATGCGTATTAGAATAACACTTAACGTTAAATGATGCAATTATTCTTCAGTTTTGAAGTTATTTTATAATTATTTTTTTTAACTTGCATAAACTCATGAAAGCCTTCCTAAGGATTACTGCATAGAGTGATACACCACCGATTGATTGATTGATCGACTGATTGAGATGGGTAGTTGTCTACTACTCAAATCAGCCATTGCTGCTTGCTAACCAAATCAAAGTGATCTAAACACTTGACAGCCGTTTCACGCGTTTTGATCTAGGCTCATTAGTGGTATATCTGGTATGACTCAGCTCAGGAAACCGAATCAATTGAAACAAACTGATTTCATTAGCCTTTCCCTATTATTTCCTCATCTTTAAGATGTTTTTACATAATTAGTCATTTTACTGATGGTTAAATTAGCTTGTTAAACTAACTAAAAAGCAGCAAACAAAATGAAACTACTAATACCGTTTCTTTAACTGCAGCTCTAATGAAGAGTAATGAACAGTGTACGGGTCCAAGTGGGATACAAAAAGTTGAGTGTGAGGACAAATACTTGCCAGTGACATTAGCTGCCTTTATAGCTACATGATGTGACTCGTTAGAAGGCAGAATTCATGAGTAGTTGAATTCCTTCTCAGCGGATAAATAATGAGTGGGCTTGCCCCAAAGCATGAAGTCTCTGGGCTTGACAGCCAGTGGAGTTTAATATATCTCCTGCTGAAGAGTCCGAATAATTCCTGGTTTTCAGTGATTTTCTTACTCATACCAGCTCTCAATCTAACTTGAAGTCAATCAGACTCCTGCTAAACGACAACTGGAAAGAATAAAAAAATATAAATTTGGTTTTCCATGTGCAAACATTTTCATTGCGAAAACTGAACGGGTTTTTTTTCTAATAATGAACGTTATTCAGAAAATATTCTTGAGAGTGAAGCCGTGACTCTTCTTTATTGTTCCCTAAAATTCACTAGATGGTGTCAGTTGAGCTAGTGATTGTATATTAGTCAACTTTCCTCAGTAATGATCCGTCAGAAGGTATATTTCCATCCTGATTTGAAATCACGGCAGTCAAGCGTCTTGCTACCTGAATTAAAACTTTCTATCACTATTTAATTGATCGTTCTCTTAAAGTCGTTTGAATTAGGACAAATACTCAAGTGAAAGTCTAATTTTAGAAAGCAGGAAACATCAGCAAAAGCAGGATGAAGTTGCCTGAAGTTCTAGTAAGAATTCGTGACCAGTGGGGCCCAATAGGTCAGGTGTGCGGGCAAATACTCGCCGATAACATTGGTTGGTGGTTGAGCTAAAATCATGAAAGGGTAAGATTTGCAATTCATGACCTACTGGACCATTTCCCACTGGTTGAGTTGTCCAGGAGCTTGTCTTGTAACCTAAATGTACCGGGTTTTAACCTTGGCAAGGGAGTACTACTTGAGTTCTTAACTAGGACTACATTGCTATTCGGTTTAAACTGACTCCCTCTAGTTCCCGAACTGACATAGATCCCCGATCCAACGTGAAATAAACCATATCCCTACAAACTAGCCCTTGAAAATAAAACAAAATACTTTTTGCGGTGCAACACAGATGGAAAAATAATTCAGTTAGTTTTGGATAAAACAATAGACCGATCGATCAGATCAGTTTAATCCCTTTATGTGGAGAAAACTTTTCATTTAATGAATAACAGATATTGCATCCGGAATGGCTACTTTAATTTTTCGATATATCCGATCATCGATAGGCACGAAAAATGAATAACAACTAGAGAGGTTTTCGTTAAAGATTCACTGAATTGTCCATTCAAAGACAAGGGCTAATAAAATGTTGAATGATACTTTGACTCCCTTCTTTGAAGTTCATTTGTTTCCTTATTGGACAGTTTTGCTTCACTTGGTTTCACTCCATAAAAGGAAGCCATTCGACCCAATATTGGAAATCAAAAGTAGCAGAAGTTCAGAATAACCATCTAGAATGATGCAATCACCATTCTTAGAGTGTTCCACCTTGAGTGTAAGCAGTTTCAAACCTGAGGTCATCTACGGTAATTCCATAGAATCATGTCTCATTAAAGCAGGTATCAGTATACTGGTGTTTCACTGAAGTAAACTATTTCATCAATGTACCGTGTATCTATACGGTATATTAAAAAGCCGCTTAGTTCAATCAAAAAAGCAGAGGTTGTTAAGTCTCTTTCATATATATGGGATGGGAGGATACAATTTTTACATCACTATATATAAGTGAATTATACTTTTCTTATAAGATGCACTGTGAAATAAAATGATGCTAGAAACTGTTATCAGATTTCACTCATATTTTCTTTCTCTAAATTTTAGATTGTCTGCAAAATATTTACCACACTTCATGTTTTTACTGTGCAAGCGACATATACCTGGGTCCTTATGGAAGCCCTTTATCTACATAATAGTGTTCTAGTTCATGTGATGCATGAAAGTAGAACATCGTTTGCTGTCTACGCTTCTATTGGATGGAGTAAGTTGATAACGCTGAGATAAACTTCAACTGGATTTTTATACATTTATATTAATTATACATCGGACACAAATGACTGCGCTTACAAATATGAATGGTCACATTTTGTAATTATTTATGATTTTTTCCATGGTGGTTTTAAAGCTCATCAAAATCCGATTAAGCATAACAGTCATGCAAAAAAATGATGACCCACTTAGTAGCTGGGTGTTGTAATTCGGCAGTTAGGGCGTCAGACTAGTTATTTGGAGGTCATTAGTGAAAGCTCTGCAGCCCTCCAGATTTTCATCTCATCTTAGATCATCACACACTACATCGATAGTAGTTTGCCAACAAAAGATCATCCCAGATAGTTTAACTGTGACGAACAAAACTACTCATTGTGGTCTTAATTAACGATTGCGTGTCTTACAGCATGGCTGATAAAACTTTCTTGAGACATACATGGTCACAGAAAGCCCCAAAAATACCAAAAAAACGACTGTTCGTGTTTGGAATCAGTGTGTGGTTCCATCCAACAACATTAACTTTAGAAATTTAAAGTTACCTCAACACTGCTGGTAAGCAGATTTACAGGCTAGATAATTTTCCATTTCAAAGCAATTACTGTAGAATAAAATTAGTTGACCGAAATTGCAGGCAGTACGCGAGAAACAAGTGGAATACTACCGGCAAGATGGGATTAAAACTGTGTCTACGAGAATCACATCTACAATTGCCTCAGAAAGTCCAGGTTCAAACTGACCTTTATTCGCTGAAACAAGATTACATCGTAAAACAACATATCATAAGTGTGTAGCACAACCAAGAAGAGGAGCCTTAAAATTAGGGAATAAGGAGGAAAAAAGACGAATAATAAGGATCATATCAACATATGATATGTAAATGTCAGAAGAATGATATACAGTTTGGAAGAAGAACGGATAGTAATTACAAAGGTGGTTGAAACGTCCAAATCAGAAAAAAGTATTATGATTAGATAGTTGAGTACAAATTTTCCAAACATTTATTCCGTTGCACATATCATCAGTCGATGGCTGTTATAATCCCTGCATCAAATTAAGAAACTCCTGGAGTTTTGAACTCAAGTTTACAATATTCAACATTTATGAATAAGCAGAGTGTTACTGTCAAAATTTTTTAATAATAATAATAGAGCTTTATTTGACACGATATGTGAGTACATAGTACAGACATTTTCAGCGTAATTAGTTCCAAAATATTTCTTCTATATCCAGGATTTACTTGCAAAGTAATAATTTGAAGTATGTCATGTGACATAGTGTCGTTCTCTGTGAGGAGAAAATCGATTTCTCTAGGTTTTTCCTTCATTTCTTTCAAGAATTGCATGGCGTTTATTTAGAAGCCAATTAGTTATGCGTGCAAGTACATGTTTTGGTCATATGATATAACTGCCCGACTAAAACAACAAGAAATGTAAAATAGTTTAGGCATTTCGGTAGACGAAAATTCTGATATCTCAGTGATTTAAGCAGGTAACTGGGTCCTACGTTTTGGATGACGAAACATTCATCAGTAGTGTTGACCTTTATTTATGAAATGCACAATAGTTAGAGTAGGAGAAATTATATCTGATGGTAACTGATGTTTAAGCATTCTTCACATTACCTTGCAATTTAATAGTTTTCTTGAACTTTTTGTTGCAGCTCTTCCAACTTTAGTAGTTATCACATGGATATTGCTAAGATTATATGTTACAACAGGCGATCAGTGTTGGGATTTGGACAGTGATCCAGGCAGCCCTAGCAGAATACTTTTAATCGTATATCCAAATGTTATCATGTTGGTAAGTCTATTCTAGACAGTTTCAGGTATTTAGTTTCGTCAACTACAGTATATAAAAGTGTATTTTTTATGAGATATTTCAAAGTTATTCAGCATTTAAAAGACAAATCGCAGTGCAAAAAGAATGACGCATAACAAGTTTTCTGTTATATCTTGGAAAACAACTGGTAACAGTTATTATTATGTTCTTATTCCTTATGTTCCTAGGGGAACATAGGATTTGAGAGAAAAGAAAGCTACAGACTTGTGAAATTAAACAACTAGAGTTTGCAAAAGCCATGCATGTTAGGTATATAAATATTTACATATTCGATAGTTAGAAAGTTATCAAGAAGTGTTGGTTTTGTAGGGATTTTGTTTGACTGGATGGGAGATCTCATCATGAGCTGACATAAGTGACAGATCCACTGGAAACCTCAGAGTACTACACATCTGTTTCGTCCTAGTTCGGGACTCTTCATCAGTACGCACCCACCACCAGTGTTCAAATCCAGGACCTCCTGGTTACAAGGCTAGCGAGCTCGTATACCATTAAGCCCCTGGGACCCAATTCAGTGGCCAGCCTATGAATTCTAACTTCTGCAGAATCACGACATAGAGCGACCATTTCGCTATGTCTTCTTCGATGAGTTACTCACTCATTTTCAACCTGCTGTACCCTACTGGTCAAGTTATCTACAAGACCTAAACATCGTCATCCTGTTTATTGACGTCTATCCCTTACTCTAAAAGCTACTGGATAAAATGAAGGAGAGACTTCGACCTGGTTTTCATGAAAATGTTATTCGCTCATGGTTTTTTGTCGATAGGATAATACCATTGTGCATATTAATTGTGCAGTTAGTCACTGTAATATTGGTAACACTATTAATGACAATAATGCTGATATTAATAATGATTCTATCAGTTATGAAGATGGAAACGTGGAGCTATCTGTGATAACGAGAATAATGAAATGCAACATGGTTTAAGAAACCAATATTCAGGTATAAGTAGTCTATAAATGCTAAGAAAAACAAATAGTCCCATTCAACATTGTCAGATTGTAAGGGAATTAAATAAACTACGTTTTGATAAAGATGTGACAAGATTGAAGAATGTTGAAAGAAGGATTGTAAATATAAGTAATGGTTGGTGGTGACGTCATCCGTTGGTTAGGTGTTAATAGGCCATGCATAGCTTATGCCCAATACTTCGAATGGCTATTGCCTCAGCTAGATGCAGCAGACGAACACGAATTGTAGTGATTAGATTCGGAGATATGCTCCTAATCCCCTTGAATGCTTTCGTTCTTTGCACTGACTGACCACCACCAGGTTAGTTTAAGAAAATGAAGATAAGGTTACTTTTTGTCTGTCCTTTTCCAAACCACTATGGAAGATGTTCAGTAACACATTGGCTCAGTTTTCCGGTAGAAAGCTCAAAATAATCGTCACCTTAGGAGCACTTGAATTCATAAGTACACATAAATGTGGCGAAATTATCAAGAGAAGGATCTCCGTTGTGTACTTCTGGAAAATGTCTGTAACGGAATCTCACTGGATAAGTCACCATAACTTCTTTCGCTCTGTTGTAATATTACTCTTTCCATCCCGTTTCCGAGTGTTTTCCTTTATGGAGCTACTCTGTTAGGCCATCTCCCCCAAAGAATCATGTGTATATTCAAACTCCTTTTGTTGATAATCATCTGTTAATGTCTTGCTTGTTCTGCTCGTACGATTGCTAACAAGATTTTTTTATATTTAATGGGCACGTAGCTAAGGAAGTGTATGTACTACCCTGTGAATGCACTGTTTTGATGTGCACTCACCCAACTGACCCATCTTAGCTCCTATGTGTTGAGACATACAGAAAATGCAGTTTATTATCCTCTTCACGAGAGGAATAGTAGATGTTATTAAATTTCATGAACACTTCGTTCGTGTTCACGTGCTCATTAACTACAGTAAATCTATCATCGACATGGCAGTTATACATATCCAACTGATTAATGACGTCTTACAGTCTCCTACTGTTAAGTTTTACAAGCAATGAGTCGGCTGAGATCAAGCCTAATCGTGAACATACAGCGATTTCTTCTATTTGTCGGCAGCATCAACTATCCAAGACAAAATGTACATTCTTTGTGCATTTAAGGAGTAGTGGTTTTAGGCTGAATAAGGGAATTCATAAGTCCATTTGCCTTCTGGTGACTTCTTGGCACATGTTATCTACTGTTTCGACAAGTGGTACATTCGTTAATAGTGATGATGCATCCATGGATGAAATATATTTATTAGTAACGCTAGTCATGGTTATTCTAGACATCACTAATTCTGTATGGCGCACTGTTTTCGTGCAAACGTCCCAGAATCCTAACGAACTACTTTTCTGTTGCATTAAATGGTGGGTTATACACTGCTAGAATCGGATGAGGAGGAAGACGAGATTTGTGCAAATTGAGTAGGCCGTAAATGCGTGAATTGTTGGTCCATGGTGGTTTCATCAATTCATCCATGGCTGACGATAACATTTCTTTTGATTCAGGTTTTGAGAGGATCTCACACTGGTTTCTCTGCTTTTAAATTTCATTCTTTGAAATCATTCCCCTCGCAGTCTGTCAATGCGTAATCGGTTCAGTTGCCTTTCTTAGATTTTATTGACTATATCTGCCTAAACATTTGTTTCTTTAATATTGTTGTTTTCCATTATTCTTGTTATCATAGATTACTCCACGTTTTCATCTTCTCATTGGTGGAACTACTATTACATTTTTATTTAAGCTTGATCCCACACAGTATTTTTGATACAAGTATTAGATTTTTCAGCATATGATATTGGTAGCCCAAATTTAGCATGCCAAACACTGATATCAGGTGTGCATCGTCCGGGGACCGAACAACGGAACATTTGCATGGTCGGCGAGCGTCTTAACCGCTGTGCCGCCGACACGTGTTATCGGTGTTATTATAATGACTAATTGAAGAATTTATATGCACAATCTTACCATCCTACTGACAGAACACTGTGACTGGTTTATATTTTATATTCATTTTTAAAGTTATGTATATTAGAGTTAGGCCTGATGAGATCTAAATGAAAACAGTACTGTTCGTTCAAATGTGTTGTTATAAGTTTGACCATGGGTATATTTAATATTTGTTCACATGGGTGTGATTAATAATTCCTTTCGTATATTTCTAACAAGATTGCTAATAAATACTTCGAGATTTTCTTATTTAAGTAACAGTAATTTTTCTTCAACGGTAAACGGACATGATACGTCATGGGAACTGTGGTCTTCTGTGTAACACTGAACCTAAATGTTTCTGCAGAGCATAACCTATCAAGATTGTCCAAGTGCTTTTGATTAATGACAGCTATATATTTCTTATTTCGACGTCAATTAGTTGACAAATCAGACAGGCTTTATTAACTGGCACTATTAAATATTCTCAGCAGACTAATTACAACATAATATCTTACATAAATTATTCATCTTCATTGAGTGAATGTTTGAAAATTAATGTTCACTTAAAATAGGCTAATAAACTCGTCTCAAGCAAAACAAGATGTTAAAGGAGAGTAGAACCAACAGTTAATGAAATAATACTCACGATAAAGTGGTGAGAATCAATAAATACATCGCTTAAATCCTTGATGTCTGAACTAGTTCTTATCAGCTTGTGACAGTAACTAAGAATATCTGAGTAACATTTGCCTCATTCTCCGTTATTTCCAACAAACTTATGTATCTGAAGAAGGTGGCGTTCGATGAATATTTAACAGTTCTGTTTACGTGATGAAAGCTTTCAAAATTACAAATATTTAAGGCACAAAAATTACCAAATGAATCTACCTCAAACGATCTTGTAGGTAGCTTTCGATTACATCGCCATCGATTCTGACAAAATCATTTTCAGTCGCTTGGGCAATGACTTACTATTTTGTCACATAGAAAGCTATTCACTTGTTTTTACTCATACTTTTGTCTGTATTTTTTGTGAGGATTGATGGTTTATCACTTTGTCCTCGAAGTGACTGATAATACCTCCTGGTACACCTTTAACTTTACAAACCAAACTCATGAAGGTGACCTACTGTAATCACTGTTCATAATCTCAGCTAAAAAACTGCTGGCAACAGGAAACAAGAAGAAAAGACAGAGATCTCTTAGTGGCTCATATAACAATCAGAACAGTGTTAAATATATTTTAAAATGATCTTTACAAACACTGCATTAACTAATGCGTTGTCAGGTTACTAACCAATGAGAAATCAGCCTTCATAAAGGGTTGGAAACAGTAAAGGCAAGGAGTTTAAGAGAGTAAAAATTGTGAGTTATTTTAGCGCCACAGGCTGATGTCATCTGAGAAAAATTCAAAACTGCACGGAATAAAACAATCGTTTACTTCCTTATTAGAAGTCTATAACTTCGAATTTCCAATAAAGTGTTTGTAATTCTTCAAAACAGACATTTAGCAACCACTTTCAATTCCGAAATTTGCACTTCTGTTGATAAATATTATTTTCTAAATGATCAAAGTCTACTTATATCTTGGGTTTCAATTAGAAATTGTTTTCAGCTGCTGAATGTAAGAATGGTTGGGAAATTCTTAGCTATGAATTTAATCATTGTCACTAAGAGTATGTGATTGGTGTTTGTTTCTTTTTCAGTACTCTGAATCTGATAATGAAGAATGACAGTTTAATCAAACGTTTTATCAAGACTTTGCAACGTCAAACTGCAAAAATCTGACTGTTAAAAGCATATTTTTCACTAAAGAAATTTTCATTTTCTCGGCCATATCACTTACTTTATGAATGAGCACTTGACAGACAAAGCTGTTTAGGATAGGATGCATAAGGTCTTTTTATTTAACAAGATCACTTGAAACCATGCCTCGAACATGGTGTCAAACATTTGCGTATTGTAGTAGATCATAGATTAAGCAGATCGTTTTATGATTATGTTTACTCATTAAAGTTCTTCGAAACTGACTTATAAACGAGATGCATAATTCTAACTTTCATAATGTAGTTGAAAACAAACAATTCAATTTCTGTTTTCTTTTCTTTTTATTTAAATGTAGTTCAATTTGGCATTTTTTGTCAATTTGTTGCGAGTAATATTCAACAAGACTCAATCTCAACCGATGAGTGAGGCAAAACGCTTAAGGTATATAATTCTATTTGATGAATAAATTAAAATGCATTTATGTATACCTTGTGGTCATTTCAATTACACTAATACTGTTCAGTTTGTGGTGGAAAGCAGTAGAATACAAGAGGCGTTCTTCATTCTGTTTGAGACTGTCAGTGAGTGACAGGATTCTCAGTGGTACTTGAACTCAACTTGAAGTGATGTTTAGGAGAGTTGATCACTTCGGCTGCATAAATACTATACAAGTTACTGATGAAAAAAAATACTTACTGAGTTCTGTTGTAGCCAGGATCCATCTAACTAATATTTTACCCATGGATTCAGTTTCAAAGATGAAATACAACAAACGAAAACGAATAAAAACTGTGTAGTACGCCTTAAATTCAACTGGTTGTTCACAAAACTCTATTTCAGACAATGAAGTTATTGTCTACCTTCAAATATTTTACAATATATCTGTCATTTCATATTTTTGATGTATCATCGAATGAAAAATATAACTAAGAAGTGATAAGTGATCACGAAAAATATTGACCATCATAAGCGTCTCAAAAAGTATACTGAAAATTGTATAACTATCGCTGACATGCTACTCAGTTTTTGATAGATAATAACTAACTCACATGGGAACTAGTTACTTTGACTAGTTATCGAGTAATGCCATTTCATGTATTATTTTCTGCTGCTAAAACAGTTCGTGTTACTTATACTGTCTTCTACTGTCCGGTGTCACTAAAGCTGCATTGATATTAATTCTTCTTAAGCTTAATCTATTTTCAGTTGCATTCCAGGCATTTTCTGTTTCCTGTTATCACGTGTCACTTGTTTCCACCATAGGTGTAATCCAGTTAGATGTCTAGCTTTGCTTAGTTTTCATACATTCTGGTATCAGTAAGGGAGAGGCTTCTGACTAGAAAGGCGAAATATTGACTGATGATTTCACTCAAAATAGAACGGTTACTGAACAACTGCTAGCTGTTCCACAGCTATGTACGCTTTTTCAACAAATATCAATTAGAAAACAGAAAGATTGAGCGAAGAAATATTTACTTTTCAATTAGATCCTCATCTCTGGCTCTACTCTAATAAATATATATATATATAGCATTTTCATTACAATACACAACAGTTTACCAAACAATTGGCGATATGTTTGTTAACAATAATTAAACAGTGTCAAAATGTCAATGGGTTGATAATTAACGAAGAAAATCAAAACATATTTTTTTGATTCCTTCACGTTCCCAGTGGAATATAGAGCTTCAAGCTAGAGGCTTGAAGTTTCTGTCGCAGTGTTTATTTTACAGGATGGGGTTGCTAGCCTCATGCCCCACCTTTCCTCTTTACCAGCTTTTATTTCTGGCTAAGCGAAGTAAAGGAGTGCGTGAGCCGGGGATCGAACCCCGGACCATGTGCATGGTCGGTGAGAGTCCTAACTGCTATGTCATTGAGTAGCGGACAACAGCTTATTAAAGATGAAGTGGTCAAAATAAAAATGAAATAATTTAGACAATTATAATTTTTATAGTTTTTGAAGGTTTAGGGGGGGGCGACGTAGTCCTGTTTATGCATTTTTCTAGAGATGGCCACGGCAAAGAAAGTGGCTGCACAAATTTCTTAAGGTGGATTCCTATTGCTTCAGCTGTATGTAGAAGACGAACTCATAGAGCAAAATTAAGATTAGTCAGAATGCGATAAATAATTTTAAATGCAGTATTAACATAAACCTTATGCTCAGTATCAACAAGGTGGGCTAAAATAGAATTACGAATAGATCTCGTTTGTCCCTATTATGTTGAGTGAGTCACATTCTTGATAATTTGGCAACCAGTTAGCGAACAATCTAAACATCGTCATTATAATTATAATAGTCGTACATTTGGTTAAAGAAAAACGGATAAGAATTACTGACTAGTTTTTAATAATACGGATTAGAAAGAGACGAAATGTCGTTTGTGAATATTCTATTTTATCATCCGTATGCTATAAAAAATATGAAAACCTAACAGCAAATTATTCTCATTTGTATGTTAGGGATTAAAACAATTTTCTGTGTAGGCTCTGTCAATGAGACTGGTTTAATGAACCTCTGAAAATTGGAGAATAATGATGGACTGTCATGACCTACCTTTCATCAAAGAACATCAATGAATTTATCTGGAATCGATTCTCATATATTCATATGCAGTTATATATTTAAAGATTATCATCTTAGTTCATAAGCTGTACCTTGAATAATGTTCAAATGCATTCAAGCGTCTTTTGTATAAAATACAGAGTTTCAAGGTGTTCATTAGAAAAGCTTCAACGTTTTGTAACAGATAGCCTGAAATTGTAAAGTGTTAATAGCCTACTGTCAATTGAAAGTATCAAAATTAAGGTTGTCACATGAAAACCAGGTGATAATATCATTTGTTTGTCTAGTTAAATCTGATGTTTTAATTAGAATTTTTTACGAAATAATTATCGCTTCCTCATGTATGCTGATCTACGCTTTTAGTATCATATTGCTGTGGTGTGATACAGATAATGTGTTCCAACGGAATACTATTCTCCCATATTCTCACTGTTTAATACTGGGTTAGCAACAGAATACTATATAAATTTGAACATTCTATTTCATGTCATTCAATGTAAACAAAAATCACGCATACAATGATTGGTTAGAGAATATAAAACTATATAGATATAAATAGCTGTTTGATCACTCGAAAATATACCTCGGCTTCCTTGTCTTGCCTTCTGCTGTTACAATATATCTTTATATCTGTCGTTTTAATTGACATTTTGGTGGATAGATGATAAAAAGACTTTTAGTAGTATGGAAACTGTAACTATCTCCTCTTCTCTCTTACTTTTAGAACATTACTCAAATCGACGTCTGTATTGGTCCTGGTTTTCGGCTTGTATCAATTATTTTTATTACCATTAAATTTCATGCGTATTAATCCGGAATCCAATGGATCTAGCTTACTAGAAATTATTAAACTATACTATGAGCAAATAATGGAAGCCTTTCAGGTAAGAGGATATTTCATCATGATTTGTATAAAACAGTACAATATTTTAGCCAGTACTTTCAACAATTCCGGGTGCCGAATGGAGAATTAGACATGTATGAAAATAATATTTCTATATAGCTCATCAATGCATACTTAGATAATGCTAGCCTTCGATTAGGCGAACTGATTAAATCTTCTTACGTTTTTGAAGAAGTTCAGGGCCAATGGAGTATTTGTTTTGAACCTAAACTATTCTAAGGACTGATTCGCAACAGTTTGAGGGATTAAAAAAGGGGACACTGTAACATTCATGGTCTTTGGGTGAGAACACATACATCTTTAGCTTATTTTGACTTCTTACGTTTCCTGATTACTACCGAGAATTATTAGTCAATCTTTAGCATTATAGTCAAAATTTTTTACTTCATTTTCTAGTTGTTTTGATTAGAGCTAAGATTCTTTATAAGTAGCACTAATTTCTGAAGCGAAATCTCTTATTTATTCAGATGAAAATGATTAAGTTCACACAGTTATGAAAGCCAGACAATTATTGAAAAAGCTAAGTGATTGTTATCATATGCTGTTGGGCAGAAAAGGATTGGTGAAGAAGAGTTACTGCCTCTCGACTTAGTATATAAAAGATAAGCTGCTGTCTTTGGCATCTAACTGCTCAGTTGAAAAACTCGTTAACTGGGTTTGTAGACACGCTGTCCATCAATAAAAACCAATAAGAAAACATGCATTTATTGTTCAATGATGATGAATTCTTTGCTTACAGTTACATGGCTTAATTTTTATGCCTTTCGGCTTCTGAGCTTCCGAACACAAGCATCAATACTGCTCGACTGAATTGAGGCAGTCTTTATGGATTCTCTGTTCCATCTAGTTTCGATTTCAAAGCGTAACGTGGCTGTGGACTGATTAATATACAGATTAAACCATTCTTAAACATGGCGAGGTTCAAATAAGCTGACAGATTAAAACCTAAATACTTGAACTTCAAATACTTGTAATTATTCAGAAATTTAACGAAGTGGATCAGAATAAGCCATAAGTGATTCAGAGAAAGGTATTTGCTGTATGATATATACTGCATTGGAAGTAGTCGTAGCATATAATCCATTGAAATTGTTATGATGTGTAGTTACTAGTTAATTAAAAAGACTATTTATTCTTGTTTCCTTATATTTGTTATAAGAACTGAAATGTGATCACGTCATTTCAAGCATTACAAAGGCATACAAAGTTTTATATCCAACACAACACTAATTTCATTTAGGTACCTCTCTTGCGTACTGGGATCAATGTCCAAGTGCCTTAACGCTAATAATCCACGCAGATGGCCCCGATGTCGACTCTTGGTAGATGCACTATCAAGTCGCACTTAGCCAACCATTTTCTAGGAGAGATTGTTAGGTTGAGAATGAAAATAGCAATCCCACTCCGTGAAAAACACTACAGATAGTGTAACTTCAAGGCTCAAAATGGAAGCTCTGTGTTCCAGTTAAAATGCAAAGTAATGAAAATAGTTTGTACTGCAGCTGTATATTGATGGGATATACAGTGATATCCATGCATCGGTGGCACACAGGTAAAATGCTCACCAACCACACCACACGTGGCCTGGGGTTCGATCCCCAAGCAATACACTCCTTTACCTTGCTAAGCCAGTAATAAGAATGGTGAAAAAGAAGGTTGGGTATGAGGGTAGCAACCCTTATCCTGTAAAAATGAACACCACTGCTACCGAAATCGCAAAGCTCAGGCTTGAAGTCTTATGTCCCACTGGGAACGTAAAGGAATAAAACGGAAAAAAATTTACAGTTATATTTGCATGTCTTTGACTAAGCAACTCAACTATGTCTAACAAAAATGACAGTTTTCTGTATAATTCGAGTGGATCTTATCAATTCAAGTTTAGCGGACCGTTTTCCAAACTTGCCATGAAAATATCAGCCAGCACCGGACCCAAAGGTGATCCCATCACCACACCATCTTGTTGTCTATAGAAGTTACCATTGAATGTGAACTGGACATTTGGGGTACATCTGAGTAGGAGTTCTTTTAGCTTGGTGGTAGGTATTCCAATATCCAGGTTGTTTTCTTCCAAGTATTTGCATAGAAAACAAATCGTCTCAGTGATAGGGACGTTTGTAAAGAGAGACTCGACGTCGAGTGAATTCAAGTTTAGCCACTCATATGTATGTATTCTCCCAATAACGAATACTCTATAAATTTTTCCTTACCAGTGTAAATGTATATAAAGTTATTGACTAGAAGCTAGGAATCCCTATTTTACAAATGTATTGAACAACACCATTATTTCTATTAGTATAGTTAGTGATTCATTAATTTAATAATAATCATCTCATTTCTTTTTCAAGGGTTCATTTGTTGCGATCGTCCTTTGCTTTATAAACAAAGAGGTAGGTGAAAAAGAGAGCTGTCATAATACAAAGACAATTTTATTTTCATTTGGCAATTTCTGATTAACACTAGTGTATACTACTGACTGAAAACGGAGATTTAAGTGAATTAAATCCTCTTTTTATCGCAATGTTTTATTATTATAATTGTACACTCATATTGATCTGTAGATTGAGATAGGTAAGTGACAAATCTGCCTGTTTGAATGAATATGACAGAAGAGGAAATACCAAACCTACCAAGCTGATGAATGGATCAAAAATAACCCAGAGAGTGAATATGACGCATTAGACTAGTGTTGTTTTGATTGACAATGGCTAATACTGTAATGCAAGACGCATATTCTGCCCAGTCTGGTTCACACTGGCTAGATTTATTTGCAATTTCATTGATGTATGGCAATCAAACATAGCCTCCACAGTTTGAAACTGCAAAGCCTTATCCAGAGAGATATTGAATAATGATAGCCACCTCAGGTATCACCTGAAGAAACTCGTTTGAAACGCTTAATATATGTTGGTATGTTGGATCCGAATAAAGATGTTCCGAAGATGCTTCGAAGTAAACATTATATCATTTTAGTCTGATGTGTGAAATGATGCTTTCTGAATTTGTGTCTCCGACGGGTGACCATTAGTAACTGGAACACAGGAACAACCAACTAACTTTTTATATATAGAATGAAAAACGCGTCCCAGATTTCAGTGTTGGCCACTAAAAACCGAAATGGCAATTTTAGCCTTGAGACACTTTGGTAGCGTCTGTACAAAAAACCAACATGCGAACAGAGATTGATTAATTTAGTCCTACATAAGCATTCAGAGGGAAATAAATAATTAAATAGTGTCAACAAATTAACGATTGACATATAAAAGAAAAATCACGTTGCAGATTAATAAGCAGGCTTTATCAAGAAGAGATTTATTGAAAGATAAAGTGGATTTTTCGAAATGAGAAATGTGGATGTATTTGCACTGGGCATGCAAACTCTCCACCGACATATCTAGAAAATGAAACTGGTGTGCTCGTTTGTCTTCTCCGATATTCAACTATATTGGAAGTTATTCAAGGTTAGATCAGTGCCATAAGAAGAAACTGAGTGGTCGAGTGGAGGAGAAACATTAAGATTAACAAAACTTAGGTACGCACCGTCAAGACAAATCAGTTCCACAGCACGTTCAGTGGCTAAACAGGTGGATTGTCATTGCTCCTGTGGTTTGAGAAAGTTCAACTCGCACTCATTTGGCGAAGTTTCTGAGTATTCTATAGATGGCTTGAGAGCTGGTTTGCGTATTCGCTCGGTGTCCAGAATCGAACAAGTGTCTCAGAATAGAGTTATGAAGAGATGTATTTTCTGCTTTGTAAAATCATGAGCCATCTATAGAATACTCAGAAACTTTGCCAAAGGAGTGCGAGTCGAACTTTCTCAAACCACAATCCATAACAATCCATAACAATCATAATATAAAATCTGAGCTCGTAGACTGAAATAGATTGCATACGAGTCCTAATTACTTGATTCATCCTAAATACCATGATCTCTCCCAATTTACTTCGTTTTCACTCTACTTGTTATCATATTCTAACGAATTTATTTTCAAATGACAAGAGTGTACTCGGTCTGTCTCCTGTCTTAATTTATCTCACTCCACACTGTAACATTTTTGATTGCATGGAGGATTTTATTATGAGCTGATATCAGTTAGAGAACCACTGGAAAACCTGAGAGTACTGGACAGCTGTCTCGTCCTCCTAGTTTGAAACTCTTCAACATTACGCACACACTGGGGTTCGAACCCAGGACCTTCTGGTTTCAAGGCGAGCTCGTAGACAATTGAGCCACTGGGACCCGATCCAATGGTCCATGAATTCTAACTTCTGCCAATTCACGACATAGCGCGACCATTTCGCAATGTCTTCTTTGATGAGTTACTGCTTCATCTTCGGGTCCCGGTGGCTTAGTGGTTTACGAACTTGCTAGCCTTGCAAGCAGGAGGTCCTGGGTTCGAACCCTGTGGTGGGTGCGTACTACTGAAGAGTTTCAAACTAGGAGGACTATACAGCTGTCCAGAGCTCCTGGGTTTTCCAGTTTTTCTCTAGCCAATGTCAGCTCATGATGAAATCCTGTAACCAATCAATCAAATCCTTACAAACCAATACTTAAACATGATGCTGTTAAAAAAACTATTTAAGGCCAGCTCCCATATTTTATTTTTGTTTCAATATTTTATGCTTATCAGAAGTTTCTACTTTGAACTCTAGGTCATAAGTGAATTCAAACGTCTGTATCGACGCAAACAGTATTTGCACAGTAATACAGAAAATCGACGTCAGAGTGCATGGATGAATAACACTCACGAAACGGGTAATGAACTTGGAGAACAGCATAATGAATACAAACCAATAGTGAAAGTATCCAGAGAACTATCAATAATTCCAAAAAGAAAAAGTAGTTCATTCACCAGTCGTTTTGTTAAACTGATAGGTTGTCGATCCAAAGATAAATTTCAACGACCATCTGGTCCACGACGACCTTCACCACTTTGTCGGAGTGAATAAAACAACAACAAAACAACAAAATATATCACTGGCATAATTACGATTCCGCATTTTTTAAACTTTATACTTGTATTGGAAATACTCTATGTGTATTTCCTTTCAACAGTGTTAAGCTGCACACATGTGGATCATGTCTATCTTGACTGCTAGTTAAGCCGATCAAGAATGTTACAAATTACATTACATTAGACCAAAAAGAATTGACTTTCAAAAGATTGCAGTGTGTGCATTGCATTAGTCATCTGAGTGGTGAGCACTGACTCGCCTTATAGTCATCGGAAGTCAGTTACATGAATCAAACGACAGTGGTTAATGAACAAACATGTTCTTATTAGTAAAGTCTCTTTTTTGTTTTTGATAAACTGCATATTGTATAAATTTGATCCCTAAAGTCACTTTCACATTTGATATATTGTGAAACGATAATCCAGCAAAATCAAGAGTGTATTTATTTTTGAGTTAATAATAAAAACGTATAAAGCGATTTCTTTTTCATTTTTCCTTTAACCAAATCCTACAACACAAATGATTTAACTAACAACCGACAAGACTTAGAAAACTTCTTGAAAATTTCCTGTAAACGATTCAACCCATGTAAAGTCTCTGAACCACTTAGCGTTTTCAGAAATTATCCCCGACACTTTCACTCTCAAGTATGATAAAAGTTTATCCCACTTAAAGAATTATTTGGGCTGATGCTACTCATATGTTAAGTAATTACCAGTTAAAGCCAACTAGACAATGTATGTAATGATGAAATGAGGAACACTGTTTCATTTTGGTTTACAAATTCATGCAATGCTAAGCAGGCTTGTCAAATTTGGGCATGATTGTATAATTCAAAAACTTCAGCCTTGTTTTGAGGATTCCAACAATTGGATTCAAGAAAAATGCATCTTACAATGACACTTGTTTGCGATTCTTCATGGATAACTACTTCTAATACTCAAATGAAGTCTGCCAGATATCACACATGTGAAAGATTTATTCGTATTGAGAATTATATTACACATGTGAATGACATTGAGCACTCAAGTATCCAAAATGAGGATGACGATTACGAAATTTCTCACAAAAACTAAATCATTTATTTGTAGTTTTAGTATTATAGACTTCTAGCAGAATTTCACTTGATGGAATTTTAAACTGTACAAAGTATTAAGGAGGTTTGTTCAATGAATTTCGGACAGCTGCATCCTCAGTGTAGCTCTTAATGTGTTGATTGGTTTGGGGGGACGACTAATATCAGATCAACGTTACTATGCAACAAATGATGTGTTTTGAATAAGTCACTCGCGAATATCTTCAGTTACTCCCACTCCACGAACACTAGCTTACTGAGACGGAGTGAATGACATGTATGGTGGCTTCTTGAATGATTACTTATCCTACTGAACAGTCTCTGCCATCTTCTAGGAAAGATATCATACGAAAACATTTTGATCCGCCTTTATATTCTTCGTATAGGAATTTGAACACAAACAACTAGCTGAAATACAGTGGAATATCCTGTTATAAGAATTTCACACAGAGTTTAAAAAATCTAGATAACCATGAAACAGTTATAGAAATTCCTTCAGATGAAGTTTCTCGTGCAGTTACTATTAGCACAGATTAATATATGCATAAAGTGAAGCCAATTTCAGATAATTCATCCTGATTTACGTCTTATAATTATAATAGAGATATTAGTGAGGTTAAACAAAGGCCAATAACAAGAAGGTTCGGGGTTCTTTTGAAACACAGGAAGATGGAACTTTCGGGCTAAAGGTCACCATCGTCTATGAAGCTTCAGTCTCATGATATGTTTGATTTACACAAGTAGCATGACAAATTTTTTCAAACAGATCTATAAAGCCTTCCCTTCATAAAGTGTGTCTTCAGTCAGCTACGGATATGAAATAATCTGCTGAACCTCAATGAATGCATAGATTAGAATACACTTCCATATTTTCTAATAATTGACTAAACACAGACATATAATCCCTCTTAAAGTACCCTAATTATTTATGAAGATCCTTTAGGAAGAACTAAAGACGGCATCTATCATTATTCCATGCTTTTCAATTAATTGGGAAAACAGTTAAAACACGTTAAACTGGTGTTCATCAAGAACAATAGATTGGTATTGTACACTGCACATGTCTTAGACAGTAACCTGTACTGAAACCTTCTTGAGATATTACTGTACAGTTCAGGTGAAAAATGACAAACACATATCACTACGAAATCTCATTTATTAAGAAAGTAGAAGTCCTTTTCGATGAAAACATTTATCCTTAACGTTTTTGAATTTCTGGTAATATCTGATGGACTATACATGATTTATCAATGAATTCCATTTCATAATTAAACTGTAATTCAGTAAATGTGTTTTTGAAATAGACTGTGGGTTTGTTTTAGTTACTTGTAAGAAAGAGTGGAAGACAAGCACTTCTTTTTGTTCGTTACCCACCAACTGGATATTCCTACACGTCCAGGGAGTGACAGTGTTCCTTAATAATATTAGTCATAGTAATAATGGCTTTGTTTTAAACAGTGCTTTTGAAACAAATACGGAATTTTCATCATGAAGTACAGTATTGCATCTAACTTTCCCATTACAGGGATAAGAGTTAAAACAGAGCATTTACATTGATAACATTGTTCAGTAAGAAGATGATCAGAAAATTAAGTGAAAACATTAACGAAAAAATGAAAAAAATTCGGTCGTTTACTTGAAGTTCTTCAGTAAATCGGTAACTTAATGCCTTAAACTTTTCTCGTCACATAAAATTTAGTTCGAATTAGGTACCGTAGAGTCCCCTAAAATTGCTTCTCGTCACACCTTATGAAATGCAAACAGAAAGTTGTGTATGGAGAGGATGCTCAAAGTTTGACAAGATAATATTTGCTAATTTATTGCAGGAATCCATGTGTCTATTTACACTAGTTCTAGTGAGTTTGTTTAGCAACACCCAACTCGCCTTACTGATGGCTTTTAGTGCCCTCCGCAGAAAAACAAAGTCTTTCTTAAGTAGTCCAGGAAAGATTAAGGGGGGGGGGCAGTAAAGAAGTGTAAGCAGAATACAAGAATTAACTAGCTTTAACACTAGAGACGGGATGTTACTAAATCGTCATAACTTACTTACGTACAACGTTAAACAAAATATCATTCTATTAAGAAAATGTCACAAGAAATACACAAACCAGAGTATTTAACATTCGGCTTAATTTCAACGTCATTACCACTTATGATACTAGAAGTGTGAGAAAGAACCAGTTCATGTAAGTCGTGATTGCATCTGAAAGTAGATTTACCAGCCTGATATTTGGAGAGACTTAGCTCAAGTCCACTTAAAAATTATTGCTGACTAATTTCCGATAAAAAGTGTCCATTTTAGAAAGATCTATTTAGGAAGTAACGGAAATGAATAGAGTGAGATCCTCGGCGTACTTAATAAAATTGACTTCATTAGAATTAGGGAACACCACCTACAGTAAGTGAAGCAGTGCAGTAATTGTCGATGTAAACCGTGTACTGCTTCCTATCAGAAAAGTAAGAATGCAACCACTTATTAGTCCAACACCCTACCTGTGTTGCAGCAAGCTTGTTTAACAAAATAGTCATAGGCACCAAGTCAAAAGGCAGTTGTATAATCAAGGAATGCACACCGAACATATTTGCCGCCTCTAACTAAGACAGAGACATTATTATGATATAAGACGACAGTAACATCTATATTTGTAAGCAAATTGATCAGGGTCATTAAAAATCTTCAATGAAGGTTCAAGGTTATGTAAAACGTGTCTTTCTATTATTTTAAAAAAGATCAAGTAAAGCAATAGGTCTGAATTTAACAATTTAACACAGGGAAGAAATGTAATGTCCTTCCAAGAAGCAGGTACAATAATAATGGAGAATTATTCATTGAAAATACCAGTTGAAGGATAACATGAAATGTCAACATATTTTTTGAGGATGATAGCTGATACACCATCTGCACCTAGAGACTAGCTATTTTTCAGGGAATTGAGGCACTTGAAAACATTGTCTGAATTAAAACCAAAGAATCGGTCATTGTTTGCACTTGTAACATCTGAGATTATATCATCAGCCTGACATTATATGAAAGACTTACTGAGAATATCAGTGTGATGACTTTTTGCATGATAAGAGCTTTTGATTACGGATCATATTTAATATCTGTATTTCTGATTTAATAAAATGTTCGGTCCCTTGACACCAGGATTGTCTTTCATTTCATATAACTTTTCTTCTTCTCGAGAAAGCTTTTCAAGCTGAAAAGAGGAGAAGCGATCAAATCTAAGGAAGGATGTCCCTTTTCGTCCTTCTGAGACTCTAACGCTGCACCCGTTATTCCAAACACTATACCGTGAGATTCATTCTTCGTGCAACAGGTGTGAATTACTACTGTTCAAGTTAATTTGCACTTCCTGTTGATTCATAATGTAAGACTGAAATATGAGGTCTCTGCTGAAAAATTGGCTGTTAGTACGAACTCTTAGATGGTGTTTGAAAATTGACATAATGTCGTTCCAGTGGATAGTGACTAGCAGTCAGATATAGAATACTCATTTCTCCCTATGTTGGATTCATCGGATTAATGGAAACTCCATTACTAACCACTGATGCAGGTACACCTAGCTAATGAGTATAAATCTCTAAGGACATTCAATGATAATCCATTGTTTATGCGCTATGAAACGAGAAAAAGCGACAAGGTTTTCGGTCTATGACGGAGCGTCTTGTATTTCCTATCTGACTGAATGAGATGAATTTTCAGGGCAGAATACTTAAACTACTGCACAAAAGTGTGACAGTTATAGTTGCTACACACAAAGGCAGCGACAAAATTCAAAAGAACAGTAATGAATGGAGAAGAATGGAGAAAATAATGGCTATATAATGAATTGTGGGAAATCAAACGATTAACAAGTTCATATATGCTGAATGCCTCTACGCCTCTGAGAAAGATATTGACACATATCATCAAAAT